GTGTCATCCCCAAGGATGTTTCTATTGATTGACGGCTGCAATGGAGAGAATGGGGGAGAGAGCGAGGGATGACTGAGGAGAGAGAGAGAGGCTGAGTGGAAACAGAGAAATCAATCAGCCTGTCCTCTGAGTTTATGAGGAGAAGGAAGAGAGAGGAAGAGGGGATAGAGGAGAAGAGAGCGGGACAGAAGATGAAAGAAGAGCAGAAGAAGAGGGAGAAGGAATGTGAGGAGATGAGAGAAGAGAAAAAGGAAGAGGGCAGAGAGGAAAAGACGGGAGAGAAGAAAGGGGAATAGCTAAAAGGGAATGAAAGGAGAAATGAAGGGCAGCAAAGGGGAAAGACAAGAATAGGAGAAAAGGTGAAGCTAGAGAGCAGAGAAAGGAGGAGAAGATGAGAAGATACTAGGAGAGGAAAGGAAGGATGCAGAAGAGACAGTAGATCAAGAAAATGGGAAAGAAGAAAGAAAGAAGGATGAGAGGAAATAAAGATGAGGAAAGGATGCTGAAGGAAGAGGAGAGGAGTCAAGGAGTGAAAGGGAAGGAAGGAAGGAAGGAAGGAAGGAAGGAAAGGAGAAGTGAGGGGAGAATGAGATAAAAGGAGAGAGGAAAGGAGGGATGTGCTGAGCGAAGGAGTGGTGGAGGGGGATGAGTCAGCCGCACGTGAGGGGGATATGAGCTGCATGCTAACTAACACACACACACACCTGCATCAGCAACTGGAGGGAGAGGAAGCAGTGGGAGGGTCTTATAGAGGGCATCCTCTCCCCTCTCATCCCTTCTTCTTCAGCTGCTTCTCTATCAAGTCACGACTGCCCTCCCCCCTCCTTCTCCCCATTGCTCCTCCTCTATCGCTCTCTCATCTCTCTCTTCTGACCCACATCTCTTTTCCTCCGTCTCAGTCTTTTCCATCCCCTTCCTCTTCCTTCCTTCCTGCATTCACCTTTTTTTTCCCTCTCCACTTTGCTGATTGGCTCTTTGATCACGTCTGCTCTGTAATTCTGCTCTATGAAACCATAAATGATATCAGCTCATGTTATCCATTCCTTGACCCAAATAAAC